AGGGATGTGATGGCACTCTGGGGTTGTGTTCCTGAGCTCTCAGGGGGCTCTGGGACCCTGTTTTTTCCAGGTCTCACTGCCTCTTCTCCTCCCATCTCCCCCCATCACGGGCAGAAGAGCCCTTCCCTGTCTCCTAGGAGCTGCACTGGAGAACATGAGGTGTGAACTCAGATCCGGGACTGCAAAGGGATTGATGATGACAGGAGGAGGCCTGGCTTCAGTCACTGCTGCCTGGCAGCCAGGCAGTGATTGGATTTGTGCTCTACACATATTTTGGGATCAGACTAAGGGATTGGATCCATACTTATCGTGAGCAGAGGGGTTCAGCTGCAGCAGTGAACCACAAAGAAGGAAGGGCCAAAGGTCCATGGTGCTCTGTACAATCTCAGGGAAATGTGTCCTGCTCCCCCCTCCCCACACAGACAGCTGAGTGCTGAGAAAGCTTTTAAGGCAAAAAACCTATAAATAAAGAACGCTGTCCCTGGAACACAGAGCTTAAAATATGATGGCATCTCCCCCAGACTGTGAATGGGTTCCCTGAAGAGCTCCCCCGGTCCTGAGACCCTCCCTTTCCCCACTCCCCTCCTGGGAAAATTGGAGAGGCAAAGGGCTGCTGCTCCAGCAGATTTGCAGGAGTGGGAGTTGAAGAATCAATGAAGCTCTGAAAGCCAGTGGGGAAAGTCATTCTGCACCTTCCTGACACCAGGAATAAATGATTCAGCGCGAAAGGAAAAAAAAAATACAACAACCCTCAAATGAGGCTGGAATTACCCACTGGAGAGATATTTCATCTTGAAGAATTGTGTTTGCTGCAGTGTTCATCTCACTGAGCCACAGCAAGGCTTTAATATCCAGCAAAAGGTCAAACCTAAATGGGAATTGGGAGAGCCTGCTGGAGCTCCGACGCCAGCGCCTGCACACACAGCCGAGCTCCCAGTGCCTCACACGGAGCAGCCACACCAGGCCAAGGCCTGAAACAGGGAGTGGAGCTGAGCTGGACCGTGCAGGAATAGCTCCCTCTCCGATGGGATCCCAGGCACGGCTCAGCCCAACCACGTCCTGCGCTCGCTCCCTTTGGACTGGGCACGAAAGGAACAGACCCGCCTGCCCGGGTGTCTTGAGCAGGGTGAATTTGGGGAGAAGCTTCCCGATTTTCCATTCAAAGGATCTAACTGATAGTAAAGGAAGGCGGGATTTCAAGGCACCTGAGGGCTGCAGGGGGCAGCTGTCAGCTCCTCCTCAGCTGGGACATCAGTGCTTGAAGGATGCAAGAGACTCTGCCAGTGCCCTGGTCCTGACCTGCTCCGAGCCCAGGGTGGTCTGGGGGCGGTGGGAGCTCTCTCCTCATGCCCATCAGCTCCCCGTGGACAGACAGTTCTTCCCACTTTTCCCAGTTCTGCCTTGGTACTGCTGCTGTCTCCCTCCACACACACACATCTGCTCAGCCTCTCCTTGGTTAATGTGCACTCCTTCCCTTGGACTCAGCTCTGCCCTCTGGGAGCCTGGCATCCCTACCCCAGGCTGTAGCAGAGTTCCAGGGAGGAATTAGGCAGACAGGAGGTGGAGGGAAAGCAGAGGTTCCCAGGCAGCTTCCTCCCTCCTCTTCACCATGACAAAGGTGAGAGTCCAAGAGAAGGAAGGAGTGAACTGAGCCCTTCCTGTAACATCCATCATCCTCCCAAGAGGGAACAATGCAGGTCAGTGAGCTGAGCTGGGCAGAGGGGGATGTTACCTAAAGCAGAGCTGAAAATCTGCTTAAACTTTAGGGTTTGTAACAAAACTGGTCCCAAGCTACAGGCAAACTGCAGACTCTGCAATGAAACAGGAAGATTTGGGAACTAGCAGCTCTCCTGACAGCCCTGTGCCTTCCACCTGCCACCTTGGTCATCCAACACGACCTGGAGCCCTCCTGCTTTCCTGTTCAGAACCAGCCAACACACCTCCACCCTGCCCTGCCATTCCAGGTGTCCTTTCAGCCCTTCCTGATGAACAAGCTGCCATTCCTGATGGGCATCCTGTGCCAACGTGGATAAACATCCACTGGGGAATCACCTGAAACTACCACTCTCATTTCCACTTGTGACTCAAGCCAGACTTCCCTATGTACAGAGAGATTAAATTTCTCTAAGGTTCACACAAGATAATTTTTTGTTCAAATATTTACAGTTAAAACTCACCAAAAAATCAACAGGATTCTGCTGGACAGTGCTCAACCACCCACAGCCCCCAAAGGCAAACAGGGTTTTATGTGGTATTTAAAGCATCCAGAGGCATCCAGAATTCAGCCCTCCCAAGTGTTCCCCGGGCCAGACTGGGTCCCTGCCATACATCCATGGCTCTGAGGGAAGTAGGAAGAGGGAAGCAGGAAGAACTTGCTGTCTTTTTCTTCTTAATAATGGTGACCACGTGGGTCACCAGCCCCTCACAGGGTCACACTGACAAAGGAGGTGGAGGCCATCTCTGAACTGCACCCAGCAGCCACATTCTTGGGAAGCCAATGCTGTGGAAAAAGGGGTCAGGTTGCTTCTCCCCATGTTTGGCTTTGTGGAGCTGTTTGTGTCTCCTGGATCCAAGACTTCCCTGGCAACACAGTGGAGCTGTCGTTTGGAAATCATCTCCTTTCTATCCAGGATGTTTAAATTCAAGCCTCAAACTTGTGGTTGGCAGGGAACGGGGGCAAACAAACAGCCAAACAATCTGCTGTCAGTTCCTGACAGTCTGGCCTGCAACAGTTATCCCTCCTGTCCACGAGGAATGCCCGAGCACAGAGGCATTGGCTCAAGGGCCTGTCACAGAGTTCAACTGCTCAGGCTTAAGTACAAGAGAAAATTAGAAAAAAACAGACTATAAGTGTATTGAAACATTTGGGCTTTGCTCCCTCCTCTATAAGGTCTGTTGTTTCACTGGCAGAGGGAAGGCTGGACTCACCCACAGCTGCACTGAACATCTGGGGGCTTGAGGAACATCCCCTGACTGCTTCTAAACCTTTCTGTTTGCTGCTCCCCCACCTCTGACCCTCTTTTTGGCATGCCAACCTCCATTTCCAGCCCCCCTCACCCACTGTTCCTGTGTGCACTGAGGTGCCAGGGGTTCCTGGGAGGTAAATACAGCTCAGTTTGACAGAGCTGCTGGGGAGGTGCAGAAGCTCAGGTGGAAATCACCCTCTCCTCTCTCTGCTCCTTTCCAAAGCTGAAGGGGTTAGAGGGAAGCTCACCTCTGTGAGCCAGTGCTGAGGAACACTGGCTGGATCCCTGCATGAGAAGCTCTGAAGGGAGCACAGACATCCTCAAGTGTTAATCCCATGGGATGAGTTGGCTTAACAGCCTCCTTTCCCTGGGTGGACAATCAGCTTCCACAGGGAGTCAGTGACTTTCTGAGACTTTTCAAACAGAAAGTGCTTTTCTGGGATGAAGCTGCCACCTCTGAAGGGTTCTCATCTCTCCCAGTGCCCTGGGGCTTTCTGCTCACATACACTCTGCTCTCTCACACAAGACATCCTGCAATGCCACCTCATGCCAGCTTCCCTCTCTGCTGGATGCAGAAGCATTTCCATGCAGCCATGGTGTTTCTGGATGATCCCTCAACTCCACCAGGCTCACAGGGAATGCAGGAGTGTACAGGACTCCTTCCTCTGGGTTGTCACCATTGTCCCCTCTGACAAGGCAAGCCCCAGCCTTGCAGCTGGCAGGTCAACATTCCCTGTGCTGCTGAACAAGGAAACACAGAGGAGGGAATGCAGACAATATCCTAAACAAATCTGCTGTTTACAAAGTTCCCTATAAACTGTTTACATTGCTGGGGAGAAACCATGGAGGAACAGCAGCTGGACCGTGTTCTTCCCAGTGGGAAGAACTCCACTCCTGTTTGCTGCACTCCTGTGGGATGGAGCGGAGCTGATGCGTGTCTGGAAAGGCTGCAAACACATGAAAGGAAAGAAGAGGCAGCAAAATCCCAGTACCACCCACTCCCCCAGCCTGCCAGGACCTCTGGCTGCCTCAGCACTGCCTCCCAGAGCACACTCCAAGGGACATGGCATGTCCTTGGGGTGCAAGGTGGCAAGGGACAGCTAACCTCGGGCTGCTGAGCAGTGCCTGGGGTGGTGAGGCTGCTGGCAGAGGAAGCAGTCCTGGAGGAGCCAGCCCTGACCCTCCCTGGAGCCCCTTGGCTCTCAGACACATGTGAAGTGCCTTGTGACTCTCATGCCTCGGAGCCACGGTGTGTGGTGCCAGCGGCCGCTGCCGCATTATAGACATGGCTAAAAATGGGGCCTCAGAAAGGCCAGCAAGAACATTTCGAAGTGCTGGCATAAAATAAAAGCCTCAGTGTGCCTTTAATCTGCCCTGTTTCCTGTCCATGGAAAGCTCTTTGAAGTGCCTGTGCACAGGGCAGTGCTGGAGCACCCGTGACCCAGCTGACCAGGGCCGCGTGGGCTGGAGACACAGCGTGACTGCCCGAGCTGTGGGGCTGCCTTGGGGGGAAGGCATGGAAGGGTTAAACCCCAAACCCACCCTGGATCGGTCACCCTGATTTCACTGGAAGGTCCATTCTGTTACTTGAATAGCTGAGCAGGACGTGAGAAAACAAGGCTTCCACTCCAGGAAGGTGATAAGTGCTCTGAGCCCAGAAATAGCACAAAGGGGGGTATGTGGGGATGGGCAGCCAGCTGGAACAGCAAGGACAGGGAAAACATCCTCCCTATACATGGTATGGCAGCCCTGACCTGGTGGTTGGAAAGGAACACAGGTACAATGATTAAAAATACCAAAAAAGAAAGTGGGCAAACTCAGTTGTCCAGAGAAGCTGTGGCTGCCCCATCCCTGCAAGTGTCCAAGGCCAGGTTGGACCAGCTTGGAGCAACCTGGGATAGAGGAAGGTGTCCCTGCCTGTGGCAGGGGGTGGAAGTGGATGAGCTTTATGGTCCCTCCCTACCCAAACCATTCCATGATTCTATGAATACAGGTACAAAGATTCTAAAAAAAAATGAAAGTGGTTAAACTCACCCATCTGGTGTCCAAGGGCAAGCAGGGACACCACAGAGCTCCATCAGCAACAGGCAAGGGATGTTCATCCACATTTACTTCCAAACATAGAAGAACTCCATTCTCAGCACCAGTCCTGCCTTTACTCTCCACCCAGTCGGTCTTCCAGGGCCCAGCTGTGTCCCTTTCCTGCCCAGGAAGAGGATGGAGGGGTCTCCCAGCAGAGGCAAACATCCCAACCAGCAGGAATGTCAGAGGCATCTGCAGGACCTCTCACAGACTGAGCTAAAAGAAATAAAACAGGGGGAAAAAAATCCAGAATTTGTCAGGACAAGACATAACAAAAGATCATCAGGTTCCTTTGCTGAAGTAAAAAACTCAAATCTAAGCACATTTTTCAGAGCCAATCCCAAAGAAAATTGGGGTTTTGCTTTCAGAAGCTTTCGTGCAGTTACAAACATGTCAGCCAGCTAAATTTCTGAGTGAGAGACTCTCCAGAATGAAAACTTGAGCCATTTAGTTTTAAAATAAGTCAGAAGGACTGAAGCTGTAATCCCACACGAGTGCTGGGTGGGATTCCTTGGCTGAAAATTACTTGTTCAGCTTCACCTGAACTTGGAGGATATTTTTGCTTGACCCCACGTGGCTCAGGCCCAGTGACAGGGACCTTCAGACCCCGGTCCTTGCAGAGGAGCATCAATCCTCAGGGATACCCCAGTGCTCCCTCAGTTGGAATAGGTGCTAGGATTTTTTGGTGGATGAGCAGCATTTCCCACTTCAATTTTAATTCTTGGTACTGTGGATCACTTCTCAAGCAGCCACCCTTCAGAGCACAGGCAGGGGGAAGAGATTCCTCCGTGCAACACCTCCAGTGTGAGCAGATTGCCCAAAGATCCCACGGGCAAAGGCAGAGGGAGAGCTCAGCAAACTCATCTACCATAAATTCCCTCACTCCTCCTGTGACAAACTGGCCAGCCCGTGTGTCCTGTTAAGGGGACAGGGCTCTCCGAGTCAGCTGAGCATCTCCTCCCTTCCCATTCCCAGGGGGTTTATTACTATGAATCATTAAAACACAGCCCAAATGGCCAGGAATTAACCCACGCACTGTCCCAGTGTGCAGCTCCAATCCCATGTGTTTGGCAATGTCCCAAAGTCATCTGCTGGAACAGTCACAGATGTACCCAGAGCAGCCCTACACCCCCAGCCTCCTCCTGCACCTTCCAGGGGCATCCCTGCTCTGTGCCCCTGGGAGCTGTGGGAAAGGGCTTCTCAGCAGAGCTGAGAGGTGGCAGTGCCTGGTTTTGGGTGAGGGTCAGTGCCCCCTGTGCTTGCCCAAGGTCAGCGAGGGATTAGAGCTGCCCTCACTGCCCACATCTCCTCACCGAGGGGTCTGTCTAGACAACCCTCCCTGCTGCGACTCCCAGGGCCCTTCCACGCACGGAAGTGTTCCGGAATTCTTGCAATTAATTCTCTGTCATCCCCAAACCAGCACTGCTGTGCAGAGGAGTGCCACAGATCAGCAATTAAGGGGCAGAGACAGACGGCCCAGGGAGGCTCAGCAGGTCACACCTGCGCTGCTCCAGAGCTGCTCTGGGAGAAGGCCCTTAGCAAGCTCCGGAGGGAACGGCGGCTCCCAAGCCAAACCCGAGTAATAAGATGATCTTGTAGGGGGCAAGATTAATCATTATTGGCAGCCAAGAATGTGCAAGTCTAACAAAAGCCAAAGGTTTTTTTATTACAGTCCAACTGCAGCTGGGAAGACAATGTTAGCTAAGAATCATGAAATCTATTGCAAGAATAAATTTTCTTTGAACCAAACCATAAAATGGGAGTAAAATCCTCTTAAGCCAGTGGCAGCTCCTAATGGAACAGACATTATTATTTTTTTTTTTTTTGCAAACCAAAAATAAAATTTAAAAAAAATTGCTTTAGATTATTGAGTGAATAGATCAGACTCCAAAACGGAAAATATTTACTTGAGCAAAACCTGCTTAAATTAATACCTGCCCTAATTAATTTTTAAGTTTGGGTTTATAATTGAATGGAGTAATGATGATGTTTTCTGCCTGTACAAACAGGGATTTGTGAAGCCTGTTTACCCAGAATTCAGGCAGGAGGAGAAGCATCTAGGAAAACTTTCCCAGGTAACATCAGCGCTGCTGCACGTGCCAGGGATGAGTCTGGCAGCTCCTGCAAGCCTGGAAGGTGAAGCCAAGGTCCCTCCTCACAGTCAGTCATTAAATTTCCTGGAACGCCTGACCAGGAGGTCAGTCTGATATTATCAAACACCAAAACTAGTACAGAAAAATGGAAGTCATTTCTCTCTGCAGGCTGATTCAGTCCCTGAATCAGGGCAAGCTTGGTGCACTCCCCCCTCAGTGCTTCTCCCTCGCTGCCAGAGAGCAGGAGAGGCAGGAAGGGAGTGGAACTCCGAGCATTCACACGGGCTCTGTACACCCAGGTGGAAAACACACCTGCACAATCCCTTCTCTGGGGCAGGCAGTGCAAGGAGGGAGCTGTGTCCTGTTCTGGGAGCTGTTCCCACTGCCAGACACTCCTCTATGCTTTGGAAAATCTGTCTTCCTCAGCTGTCAGGGGCTGCACTCCCTTCCCTCTTTCCAGAGGGTATCCTTGGATGCTCAGACCTTTCAGACCTCTAAAAAGTTTCCTGATCTAGATGTGGCCTCTGCACAGGGCATTTTTTGCATCAGCAAGTCAAGGGAGGGGATTCTGCCCCTCTCAGGTGAGACCCCCCCTGCAGAGCTGCCTCCAGCAGAGTCCAGCAGTAGAAGGATGTGGAGCTGCTGGAGCGAGTCCAGAGGAGGCCACAGAGATGCTCCAAGGGCTGGAGCCAGGCTGGGAGAGCTGGGGGTGTTCACCTGGAGAGGAGAAGGCTCCAGGGAGACCTTAGAGCCCCTTCCAGAGCCTAAAGGGGCTCCAGGAGAGCTGGAGAGGGACTTGGGACAAGGGCCTGGAGAGACAGGAGAAGGGTGAATGGCTTCCTACTGCCAGAGGGCAGGGATAGATGGGATATTGGGAAGGAATATTTGGCTGTGAGGGTGGGGAGGCCCTGGCCCAGGTTGGCCAGAGAAGCTGTGGCTGCTCCATCCCTGCAAGTGTCCAAGGCCAGGTTGGATGGGGCTTGGAGCAACCTGGGCTAGTGGAAGGTGTCCCTGCCCATGGCAGGGGGTGGAACAGGATGAGCCTTCAGGTCCCTTCCCACCCAATCCATTGTATGACTTTATGATTGGAACCCACTGAAAGCTCTCTGTGACTATAGAAGTCAACACTGCCCAAGGGCTGGAAATCCCACTGCACTGTCCTACTGGTTTTTGTTCGGTTTTTTTTTCCCCAGAAGCCCCTCCTCGAGGCTGAACTGACACATCCACCAAACACACTGAAATGCTCAGGAACAGCTGTCCATAACCACTCCTTATTCCCATCACCTGCACAACACATGGTTTTCCTGCAGACAAGGATTCCTGGAGCAGTTCCACAGCCCACTGGCATGGGGTTGTCCCCCCATTAGGGTCCAGCCTGGGAAGTACAACGTGGCCATTGGCTTGCAGCTGGCAGCCAACCCTGACATCCTGCTCCTGGAAGCACAAACTGTCTAGTAAGCGAGAAGAAGAGAAACATTTTATTCCAAACCTTCCTGCCTGGAAGCATTTCTGATCCTGGCTTGAGCAACTCACACTCAGCCCCAGAGTGTACACTTGAGTGTACGTCTGATGTCTTTTGGGGAGCAAGATGAGAAAGCACAGGGACCTTGCTGGCACGTCAGAGCTCTGTTGCCTGTGTTTTCCAGACAGGGACCTTGTTGCCAAGTGCTGGTGAGTGCTGCAGGCTGGTCCAGGCTCTCCACACAAATTACTGGTGCAGGTCTGGTTGTATGTTGTGGGCACAAAAATGAGAGAGAGACATGGACTCAATATTGAAATCTTAAAGTAAAAATGTGGAAGGTCCGATGACAGAGAAGGTGAGAGGCATTTCAGACCCAACCAGCACTTAAATCCAGGTAAGAAACAGGAAGTCTGTGGCAACAGCAGAATCATGGAGGCCATCAGAAAATATCACAAGTTAATCAAGAGTTGGGAGCAAGTAGAGTCCAGAGCTTGCCAGGAAACAACATGTCACCAGGATTACAGGCAAACCTTACAGGGCAGCTGTGATTCTGAAGGCCTGAGAGTCAAATTGTGATCAAAGAGTCGTGCAGGCACAAGAGGAAACAGCATGGAACCCAGAATCCCTCTCCTAAAGGCAAACAGAGGTGACTGACAGCACAACAGATCCTTCCCAACTCGCCCCCCAGGTCCCAGGAGGAATGGATGGAGGGCTGCTCACGTGACACTGACTGACATGCTGCAAGATTGTCTGTGGGAAAGGAACGAGAGGGGTAATTTTATTGTCATGTACCACAGGGGGGTGTAAGTAAAATCACAGCATGAGAAAATGACAGTGTATCTGTCTGAGGTCATTTGCATGCCCGGATAATCTGTGGGAGGAGAGCCAGAGTTGCTGTGTTTGACAGAGGCAACACAACAATGTGCTTGGGAATTGGCAGATTTGCAAGCCCTGAAACCAATCTCGTGTTTGCTGCTCCCAGAAACTAAAATGACCAGATTTAATCATTTAGGCTTTCAATGATTACACTTTCCTCCCTCGTTATGGGCTGTACGAGGGTGTCCTCCTGCTGAGCAAGCTGCAGGGATGGCACAGAGGGACAGTCCAGCTCGGAAGGGTGTGCACATCCCAAGGGCACGCTCGGGGGACACAAAGGGACTGTGCAGTGCTCCATACAGGTGAAGGAGCACAGACAGGCATGAAGGCAGACACTAGGGAGCAGCTGCTCTGGGCAGGCAGTATAGCCCACTAGTTTTTAGGAGGGATCTGGAAGAAGGAGAAAAGGCTTTGTTAGTGTTTCCAGGTTGCTCCTCCGCTGCAGAGGGAGTGACCTGGGAGAGAAACAGGGTGGCACGTTGGAACTGGCACGGCTGGCAGGACAACTCGGTACCTCTGCAGTGGAAAATGTAGCTGCTGGTTGGATGGAGCAGGGCCAGGAGAACAGGCCGTCTGCAGAAGGCACAGGCACTCCAGGGCTCGTGTGGAGGGAGATGGTGACAGGATCAGTGAGACAGGCTCTGCACGACCCTCTAACACTGCACTGCCAGAGGCTCCAGGAAAACCCCGATGATAAGGTGTGAGGTGCTCTGCACAGGACTGATAAGTGTGGCAGAAATCTGATTGCTCCAAAAACCTGGGCATCCCAAAGGGATTTCATCTGGGAACACAGGGAGGAGGAGCTGGATTTTAGAGATAACCTTTGCGCAGAACCACCTAGTTTTCAGCAGAGCCCAGATATGGGTATTTAGAGGCAGGTCAAGTCAAAGAGGACAGAGGGGGTGAGTGGATGGTGAGAGAGAGACATCAAGAAAGGAGCAGGGAAGAGCAAGCACAAGGAGATTTAAAACTCCTGAGCTGAAGGCAGTAGGTGGGTGTCCACGAAGGGCTGTCAGAAAGCAGACTGTGAATTAATTTGGACAGTGCAGGACGGGCTAGGAGGAAAGTGATTGCTCTGTGAGTCATCAGCAGGAGATTAAATATGCAAAATTTGTAAATAAGGTCACCCAGAGAGGGAATGCAGAGGAGGGAAAGAGGAGGGCTGGGCAAATGGCCAAGGATGGAGCAGTGAAGCAGCTGACAGTACTTGAGGATTGTCAAGCAGGACAGGCACAGCCTCATCAAGGCAGGGCCAACCCTGTCCTGCTCGGTGAGCAGAGGGGAATAACACACCCCCACCAGCAAGGAGACTTGTCACTGCCAAACCCAGAGAGAGAGCAAAACACCTCGTTGGTAGCCATAGACTGGAAAAGACAACCCCACAGCTGTAGCTGGCAGGGAGTTGTGTGGGAGGCTGTGCCTACCCAGCGTTACTCAGCTGCTTCCCAGGCACTGGAAGAGCCAGAGCTCGTGTTTGTGGCTGCAGGGGCAGGAGCAGTGGCATCCTGAAAGCCCCAGCTGACCCCAGGTTCCAGAGCCAGCTGGCCAAACGCCACAGCCTGAGCTCCCCCATTACCTGGAGCTGGCTGGGAAGCAGAAGGCAGCACGCAGGGAACGGCCCCGTTACCTTGTCACTGGCAACAGCCCCTCGTTTGTCAGGGAGGGATTCAGGCAATCGACAGAGGGGTGGGGGGTTGCAGGTGTTAAGCAGTCACCCTGAGAGCTGGAGACAGCAAAGAGAGCCTGAAAAAAAGAGGATTCATTTCTAGGCAGAGAGGGTCTTAGCAAGCCCCAGGCAGAGTGAGGGGAAGGGGGCTGGGAGTGGACCAGTGGAACAATGAGTACAAAACAAAGGGGCTGCATTAAAGGGACCCACTCTGGCGCTTGAACCAGGTTTAAGCAACTTTGCTGCTGCCTAATCTGAGGCTAATAACGAGCCAGATGTCTTACAACCTGGAAATGCCTGGCCAAGTCAGTGGAGAAGAGCAGGTGAGACACTTAACCCTTAAAGTAAGTGGTGTAAACGTTGTTCTGTTTCTGTTTGTGAGTGCACAACAAAAGCAAACTGCTTTGGGGTTTAAAGGTTTAAAGTTGCGGCCTGTTGGCAGCAGGATATTGTACAGCCCTGCTGTGGTGCTGAGCAGCCTCAGCATCTCTGTCTGGCACAAGCCTCAGAGGCAAAGTTGAGTGAGCTGGGCCCAGGGGTGAGCAGGAGAGGTCACCCCAAGGCCAGGCTCTGTGAAATGCAGAGTTAGTCAGGACAAGGTGGCCTGGCCCCTGCAGGGTGCTGCTTACCCGTTCCAGCAATTCAGAGGTTTTTATATGCAGCTCCATTTACAAGGAAACCCGGTCTGCAAAGCACAGCTTAGTCCAAATTCCCATTACAAGACTTCATCAGATCACTCTGGGCTCTGAGACCACTGTCTCCACACAGTAATAGCCATTATCCGCAGGCTTTGTGTGTGTTTATGTTACCCTTCCATTTTCCCTTCAGATATGACAAGCAATTCCTAGAAAATATGTTATAAACTCTTCTGCTCTGGAGTTCTGCCACCTCTGATTGCATTCATTTGAGCCAAGGATGTAGTTCCAAAGTAAATCAATAAACAAGACTTAAAAGGGTCCTACAGACCCAGGCTGGGGGCAGCACCACAGCCCTCCCCCTTCCCCAGTTATCTCTGTTGTGCTTCAACCTAACAAAACAAATGGGTGAAATCCAAACAGTAGAACACTTCCCAAAGCTCCCAGTGCTGCTTTACAGTATGGGAGTAGGGGCTAGGGCTGCCTTGCAGCTGGAGGGTCCCTGGAGTCACCAAATCAGTGTGACTGCTTGTCACAGTGCTGATCTGGGCCAGGGGGAGGGTCTCTCAGGGATCATCAGCAGGGACACACCTCATTGCCAGCCTGGGGTACCCATGGGTGGGCTGCAGCCAGGGTCTCCTGGTTGCCACAGGTGGTCCTGGAGACACCCAAGGAAACATCTCCACCCCCGTGAGGGACTGGAATGGCAAATCTGGAAAGCTTGGATTCAGAAAGGGGCCATGCACCCCAGTCTTCCTGAAGACACTGAGGCCCCTCAGGCTTGCTATCACATCCAAGGAAGCATATCTAGATTTACCTGGGGAGTACATATTCACCCTGAACCTTCCTTTACACTGCCTCGTACCTCCCAGCACCCCAAGAGCCATTTGGGAACAGGGAATGGTCCTTGGGAGCCTCCCAAGAAGCTGACAAGGCTGTACCTCCTCAAGCAGCTCCTCCAAGGTGAATCATAATGGACCCCATAAGCACAGTAAGGACTGCTGGCTAAACACTTCCCCAGGGAACAGCTGAGAGGTGGGTTATTCATCACCACCTGCTCCCCAGGATCAATGGATCAGGCACACAGGATGAGGATAACTTCCAGAGAAACCCCTGATACAAAGCCTGCTTGTATGCACTCACAGCAGGAGTTACAGAGCACATTAGCTCCACTGGTTGAATTATTTGGATTTGGGTGGTTTTTTAATTTCAAAATCTCCAAAGGCTGTGTAGACACAACGCTGACAGCTCAGCCAGAGAGAAGGGGGGCTGTGAGAACACCCCCTCACTCTGCCACCAAACAACTGCTGGGTTTTTACCTGGCTGCATCTTCAACTGAGATCTCCATCACCTGTGTGCTGCTGTTGTATTGGTGTGTCTGCCTGGAGATGACTCAGGACACTGTCTGCTGTTCCCAGCTCTGCTGCTTTCTCTCACTGTGAAATAAAAGAAACCATTCAGGGTGACAGTGCTCTCGTATTTTGGTTTTCTTCATGGTCTCTGTTTAGTGCATCTGTGCACTGCTTCCAAATCCAGCACTGCGTGTGCAGAGCCTGATTAGGGGAATTCACACCACCAAAATATACATCCTATGTGCTCTTCACGAGCAGTTACACACAGCCCTGGAAGAGCCTCCCACACAACACACTGGCACAGTGAAGCTCCTGCTAGAGACACGTGGGACAAGCAGTGCCCACGTCTCCTGCACAACAGGCTTGCTCAGCCCCGGAGTGCTGTGGGACCTTGCTTAAAGAAACGTTTTCCTGGGAATCAGAGAGAGATCCCACGAACTGCTGCTCTTTTTAGTGGGGCCTGTGCTCATTCGTAGAGCTATGGAGGCCATGTCTGACACCACAGAGGAGCTGTGAGCTATCCCAGCCAGTGAAGAAGGTTCCTCTGAGCTGCACTGAAGGACACAACTGCTGGAGGCCATTCCCATGACATTCCCATGTGTTCAGATCGTCCCTGTGCAGCACCAGGGAACTGAACTGCACACTCTGCTGTGGTGCCTTGGTTTCTCTCTGTGCCTCCAGCACAGGCTGCCCTGCACCTCACTCAGGCAAACCCCAAATTCAAGAGGCCAAACTGTTCCCAGTGTCCAGGCAAAGCAGCCCCTTGTCCCTGTACACCCTGTGGAGCAAGGGGAGCGCTCCCACCCTGCCCAGGCTGGCAAAGCCCCATCATGTGGCCCCAGTGCCACACTTTCTGCCAGAGCCTGTTTTCCTGTGGGGACCATGCTCTGCTCTGGGTGCCCGCAGCACTGAGCACCTTTGAGTGTGCTCAGCCATGGGGTAATTAATGAACACGAGTGGTCACTTCCATTATCTGCAACTTGAAGGCAACTCTGATCACGTCAGAGCTGGAGCTGCACTGGACCAGGGCACAGCCACACCTGGGGCTCCAGACCTTTGCGTGCTCGCTCTCCCCAGCTGCTCAGGGAGTCAGGTGGTGCCGTTCCTAGAAGGTGAATAAATTATTATTGCAAATTACTCTGATGAAGTGGCTTTTATTAGAAAGCCAGACACAAAGGGAGCTTGCTGATTGGCTCCCAGTGATGTCATAGCCAGCACAGCACTCAAATGCAGAGATGCGAATTTTCTCGTCTGTATTTTGCGTATAATTTTCATTTTCTCCTGGCAATAAAGACTCACCAGCAGAGTCTTTCACCTCGGGAGGGCGGTGGGGGGGGGTCTGTGCTGCTCAAGTGGCTGATGAAAGCAAAGTGGCCTTTGTTCCTCTGTCTTGCAGAGAACCCCAGGCTAACAGTTTGCACCCACAAAGGCACTGTGGTTTATTGTTCTATTACAAACCCACTGCTCCATTTTCTTAGGTGGGTAGCAGAGAAATTGGCATTTTTTTGGCTTGCATACACCTAAAATCATTCTGATCACAGAGATTTTGCTCTTTACAAGCTGAAGCTTAAAGTGCAGATAAAGCAACAGCCTGGGTATCATTCTGATCCTCGGCAAAAGGCGAGAACGAGGCTTTAGAAACAACCAGGCAGCAAAATCCAACTAATTATTTATTTTTCAAGTTTCACATCGTGGTTTTTCCTCCCTGCAAAGCCACTGTGAATTCTCAGGGAGGTCTGTCAGAGGGGCAGACGCAGCACCAAGCACGCTGCGCGTTCTCATTTCTCTTCCCTAACTGAACCTCGTATTGAACTTATAAAATTCGCCAGGCAAATGTTCCAGCTTTAATCATTCCTGGATGCAACAGGCACACTGGGACGACTCAAACAGTAGAACCCTGTGTGGACAGCAGGCATGGAATTATCCCTTGCCTCCCTGAACTGGAATGAACTCCCAAACCGAGGCAGCCACGTGAAGGCTGTGGTGAGCTCTGCAGCTCCCTCACGCAACGCGGCCGCAGTTCTGGGCTCCAGCCCTGCTGGACCTGGACATGGCAGAGTGGAAGGTTTTCCATACCTCCCTCCCTCCCTTATGTACAACCAAGGTGCAAATTTTGCTGGGAAGGCCAAGAGTAACATTTCCAGCCCTGGGAACAGTCTCTTCCCTGTGCTGTGCAAACACTGGGCTCTCCTCCAGCAGACCCAGCACAAATCCCGAGCTGACCTCCGGCACTTGCCCATTCCCCTTTGATTATGGCTCTGAAGCCATTTGTCCTGCAAGGGCAGAAAACAAAACACATCTATCACTGGGAAGATGCCCTGGAAACCCCCAGACAGTTGCACTGACGAAACTGGACACTGAGGGCTGCTGGAGAGCTCAAACATAGCTAGATTTGCTGTTCCCAGACCTGAGGTCACGACTCCCTGCAACATCATCAGCTCCACTTTATTCCAGGTGGCTTGAAGTTGGAAATCATTCTCCCTTATCACTGAAGATTTGCTGAGCTGCCTGCCCTCCGTGGATAACAGCAGCTGCCCTCAGACTCCTGGAGGCTGGATCTGAGGCTTTTGAAGTGCTGAGGGTGAAGGTGCAAGGAACAGGCATCCGGGAAGGAGACTCCTGACTGTGAATCAGAGTTAAAAAGGAATGGGAAGGCAGCAATCCTGGGAGAGGATGCTGGCTGAGACACACGGCCTGCATCAGCAAAAAGGGAACGGGCTCCCAGGTTTAAGACCTGGAACAGATTCAAAACACCCCTTTTAGATCTGACCTGCTTTCCTGTCTGAGGGAGACAGCGGAGAGGAGAGGGAGCCATGAATCTCGGATCCAGTCCCTGCTTTGCCAATGTGTGGTTTGGCCCTACATCCCTCTTTGCTTTTACCACTCCATGTGAGAGTAGAGGGTTATTAAAAGCATCAGAAGGATTTCAAGTAAAACAATTTTATTGTTTTTTAAGAGCTTTGTTATACATCTCTGGAGGTCTACCTTGGACCACCACAGACCAGCATCAGGAAGCTCAGAACAGCCTTTGGATATCGAATTACTGTTCAGAACCATATCAAATTCCAAAATTGCAACTACTGGCCAATAAAAGAAGCCTCTGTAGGACATAACACACCCACACAGATGGCACAGACCACAAAACCATCATGCTGGGCCTAACTCAGCTTCCCTTCCTCACCCAGAGCAGCAGCCTTGCCCTGGTCTGATTCCAGCAGCATTATTCCCCTGGGAAGCAGCTGGGCTCCAGAGAACACAGTCCCACCTACATCCCTGACCTCACAAGAGCCCCTCTATTGCTTGGCTTTTAATGACTTTGAGGGTTGGTGTCTCAGGCAGCCCCTCCCCTGCACTTGAGGACAGTATTAGAATCACATTTGGATTATAATACCCAGTAAGCTGTTCCGGGGTGATATGAATCAAAGCCCTGAAAGTGGGATTGCATTTAATTAATCGTGGCTGACAGATGAAGGTATTGATCGTAGATTGAGAGGTTCAGGACTGGCCTGGGGGATAATTGTTGCAGGGCACACTGCGTTAGGGTGATATTTTCTTCATTTCTGGCGACGTAGGAGGGAAGCAGGGGAAAAATAAGTGAATAATTGCAGCTAATTAGAACTCGCGTGTACATCCCAAATTAATTTGTCTGAATAATCAACCGCCACCAGCAGTCTGATCCAAAAGGAAAAGGAAACAACTGCCCAGAAAGATCTCAATTGCTCCCATAAATTCTGCAGTCCCAGGTCTGGGATAAATGTTTTACAGAGCTGAGGCCCTAAATACAGAAGGAGAACTGGACAAGATTATTGAGTGGAAACACTTGCCTTTGCTTAAGATGTACAATAGGTAAAAAGGACTGGGGGAAGCTGAGGGATGGCAGAGTGCGGAGGGGAGGCAGATGATGCTCTTGCCTTCACCTTCTTCCCATCCCTATCCATTTGCAACAGGCTGGACCGCCGGCAGCCTGCCCACCACTCCCTCGCCAGGTGGGACACGGGAGGTGCGGGATGGCGGCGGGGGATCAGCCGGGCCACCGCTGTCGCCGCGGGGTTAATAAGAGGTGTCTGTGCCGGCGGCAGGGGCAGATGGAGGCGAGGCTGCGGCAGCCCCGTGGGCTCACAGCGCCCGGCCCCGCTCGGGCCGCGGGATCCCCTAATCTCCCACGGCAGGGAATGATCTAGCAGGGGGTTAATAAAAGGACTGGCGCAGAACAAAAAGCCTGTCAACCGCCACAAGATGTGCTCTCCACCCCTGCCGCCCCCCAGGAAATTAAAAACTGCAGCCCGTGGCGTGCGGTGTCCCTGCGGGACCGGACGGGGCTCGGGGAGAAGGGTAGGACGGGAAGGGGGAAGTTGGGAGTCAAATGTTTGTCCCAGCTGTTGTTTCTGATGCGAGATATCAAGTGCTCTTACTCTAAAGGACCATACTACCTGGTCTTTCCAAAGCTTATGAAACCACGGCACATTTCCGTGAGCTGTTGCCAGCAGCTGCTCTTGGAGACCATCCACTCGATCCTGCCAGGCTGGAGGGCCAGGCTGCTCTGCCTGACACCGCCGAAGTCCGTGCTAGCACGTTTCCATGGAAATGGGAAGAGAACGAATGCCTGTGACATGATACACCTTTTCTGATGTAGATTTGGACCATTTCTAACATCTCTTTCTAGTGACAGCCTTCAGGATTGAATATTTTGCGGGCACAACCAAAACAGAACAAGAAGGGGGAAAAGACATCTGATGTTATGAATCAAAACCAACCATCCTTTCTGGTGAGCAGCAGTTGAACTCGAAAGCACATTAATCCCCTAAAACAACCTTCTAGGTAAAGAGACTCCCGCACTAAATATAACGTAATTCGCAGGCTCCTTATTTCTCAGAGGCGAACGGTGACGATCTGTCCCTCCCCTCTTCGGCCTGTTTGGGATGAAGTTTCCATCCCCGTCTCCCCTCGGAGGGGGATCCCTGCGCTCGGGGGTTCCCTGGCTGCCGCTGTGAGACCAGCCCGGCAGCGCTGCGGCAGCGCGGGCCCGCAGCGCCCTCTCCCGCGGCTCCAGGGCACCCCCGGCACCGCAGCATCCCGCACACGGG